AAAAAAAAAAAATTCGCCAGGCATGGTGGCAGGGATCCATAATCCCAGCTACTCAAGACGCTGAGGCAGGAGAATCATTTGAACCCAGTGAGCAGAGATCGTGCCACTGCACTTTTGCATGGGTGACAAAGTGAGACTCGATCTCAAAAAGAAAAGAAAAGGAAAACTCATGGAGAAGATTCCAGACTAAAAACACTACTGGTTATCAGGCAGTAGCTGGGTTAATAATGAAAGGGTTTGATTTGCTTCAATAGCGGCTGTGGATGGTATCAAATCAGGGATTCTAAGTCCAAATTTTCATTTCATTTTTCAGGTTTCATTATAACATATATATGTGTTTTCTTCAAGTGCACACTTGAAAATGCCTTTGTTTCAAATTATGAAATATGTTTATTAGGTTTTAATTTATAATTATAGTTGTTTCAATTAGGGATGATTATTTATTTATTTATTTATCTATTTATTTTGAGATGGAGTTTTGCTGTTGTTGCCCAGGCTGGAGTGCAATGGCACGATCTCAGCTCACCGCAACCTCCGCCTCCTGGGTTCAAGCAGTTCTCCGGCCTCAGCCTCCCGAGTAGCTGGGACTACAGGCATGCACCATCGTGCCCAGCTAATTTTTGTATTTTTAGTAGAGACGAGGTTTCACCTTGTTGACCAGGATGGTCTCGATCTCTTGACCTCGTGATCCACCCGCCTCGGCCTCCCAAAGTGCTGGGATTACAGGCTTCAGCCACCACGCCCGGCCTAATAATTTATTTTTTTAATGGAAGAAAAGGAGGAGGCAATTTTTTTCTATAGCCTTTTAGTTCAATGATGAAAAACCATTTTTATATTCCATATTTCAGTCAAAGATTAATTGCCATGAAAAATAGCTTTTATGGCTGTCAAATCAGATCTACATATAAGAAATGGAGTTAAAATCATCCTTTACTAAGCAATTTTAAACTTCAGGCACTAAAGTACTTAGAGGATAACACTGAATATTAGGAAAATATTCGCTTATTACCTCAGAGGCATCATTTGGAAATAAAATTATATTTAGATATTTAAGTAATATTAATTATAAAATAATTCAATAAAGAAAAATTTCTCATGCTTGTGTATTCAGTTTTAAATTGTTAGTGAACTCACAAGTATTTGGAATGCGTTCCTTTGCAATTTTAACAGTTTGTAAATTCATGCTTCTTATCTAACACAGGGCATTATGACAAGAAGTTTATATGAGAAATTCAAGTAGAGTCTACTACTGGGTAGCAAATTACATTCTTGAAACTTAGGAAAATTGTAGTTTAAAATATTAACTAATAATATTTCAAACTGATCTCAGGTTTCATGAGATTTCTCACATCATTTTTTTTATTCATTAGACTTTAAAATTATATTTCACATATCTTAAAGCCTTGTAGTAACTGCAAATATTTGCCACATTGTATATTCAGTAGGCATTTAATTAATATTTACTGATTAATCAGGAAGCACCCCAATAGATTATGGTGAGAACTTGGGAATTACGATTTATATACACTGGTTTTCATCCACAGTTTCTGACTCCTAAGTCCCGTACCTCTTTTCATTTCTCCCAAACATAGGCCTTAGAAACTAAAAATATACTCTAATCTTTCTCCTTGCCTTGCCATGATGAAATTCTCTGAGCTACTTTGTCCGACTGAAGGTCATAAGACCCCGATTTCCAAAGAGGTCCTGCCCCATATCAAGGAGGAAAGAATGCTCCACAAGATGCCAAGAAAATCTGGATGGGCCTTGCTGGGTTTCCCCACTCAGTCTATTAGATTATACCCCTGTAAGTCACATTTCTACACAGTCATCAATCATGCCTATCCAATAACATCTCCATAAAAAGCCCAAGAAAACAGGTTTTGGGGAACATCTGGATAGCTGAACATATGGAGGTTGCTGGAGGGTGGCCTTCCAAGAGAGGACATGGAAGCTTTGCTCTCCTTCCCCAATATCCTGCTCTGTGTGCCTCTTCATATGTATCCTTTGTAATATTCTTTATAATAAACCAGTAAATGCTAGTGTTTCCCTGAGTTCTGTGAGCCACTCCAGCAAATTAAACCCAAGGAGGGAGCTGTGGGATCCCTAACTTATAGCTGGTCAGTCAGATGTACAGGTTAATCAGCCTGGTGCTTATGATTGGCATTGGAAGTGTGGGGCAGTCTTGTGGGATTGAGCCCTCAACCTGTGTGATCTAATGCTATCTCAAGGTGGATATGTTGGAATTGAATTGGAGAACACCTAGTTGGTGCTCACTGCAGAAGTGATAGCTTCCTTGTGGATGGGAAAACAGAACCCCAAACATTTTATCACGGAAGTCTTCTGTGTGGAGGCTGGGTGTGGTGGCTCACACCTGTAATCCCAGTTACTTGGGAGGCTGAGACAGGAGAATCCCTTGAACCTGGGAGGCAGAGGCTGCAGTGAGCCGAGATGGTGCCACTACACTCCAGCCTGGGCGACAGAGCAGACTCCATCTCAAAACAAAGACAAAATCACCACCAACAACAACAAAAATAAGTTTTCCATGTTGATTGTTGTAGATTGAGAGAATAGAAAAAGCATTAATTTATTCTTAATCAATAGTTGCTAGTATTGTGGTAGGCACTAAGTATATAGTGGTATACAAAATTCAGAGTCCCTGCTCTCTACGGGCCTGCAATCTAGTGGGAGAGTCAGATATTAAAATACGAGTCTATCTATCTCTCTGTATACAAACTTATAAATGACATTAAATGCTATGAAGGAAAAGAATAAGCTTTTTAGTAGTGTTCTGTGGAAGTTGAGTTCTGAAGAATGAGGAGACAGCCAGGCAAAGACTTAGAAAAGAAGCCTACTGGGCAGAGGGAACAGCCATGGGGCTGGATCTTAGTGATGGAGGGAGAGGTAAGAGTTGGTAAGTGAGGCCGGGCGCGGTGGCTCAAGCCTGTAATCCCAGCACTTTGGGAGGCCGAGGCGGGTGGATCACGAGGTCAAGAGATCGAGACCATCCTGGTCAACAAGGTGAAACCTCGTCTCTACTAAAAATACAAAAATTAGCTGGGCACGATGGTGCGTGCCTGTAGTCCCAGCTACTCGGGAGGCTGAGGCAGGAGAATTGCTTGAACCCAGGAGGCGGAGGTTGCGGTGAGCCGAGATCGTGCCATTGCACTCCAGTCTGGGCAACAACAGCGAAACTCTGTCTCGAACAAAAAAAAAAAAAAAAAAAAAAAAGAGTTGGTAAGTGTTGTGAGCCACTAGAATCTTGAGCAAATTAGGTTCTCCATGACTTGGTCTCCTCATTTAAAAAAACAAATGAGTTGTATTACATTATTTCCAAAATCCCTTCTAGCCCTAAAATTCTATTGACCCTATGATTAACTGTGGAAGCAAAAATCTATAGAAATCTATACTTGTCACAAGTTCTAAAATTAAAGCTATAATGGGATGGGCAGAACATACATAGACTATTGATCATCACATTTTAAGAGACTTGGATAAAATGGCATGTGTTCCAGGTGGCTTGTGTAGTGACCAGTTTTCCCAGTTTGCGAGGACTAAGGGGTTTCTTAGCATAAAGAACTTTCAGTGCTCAGCCTAACTGAGATGGTGGTCACCCTATCACTGGCTGGGTTGGGAACTCAAAAGCCATGCAAGCACTAGAATCTACAGATTAGAGACATGTGATTGCTTTCACTGGTAGACAATTATTTTTCACAAGCATTCTGGAGAGATGCTGGGACTTTATGGTCTTCATGGTCTCTTTCAAGCCTGAGACTCCATAATTCCTAAGTTTTACTTTTTGTGTGCCTAGGGTCTTTAAAGAAGCTAGAAGAAAAAGAAAAGAAAAAAAAGGTTAAGAAAAAGAAGATATAAAAATCTCCATTAATGACTTGAGTCATGTGATCCAAAGAGTTATGTCATTAACTCTCTTTTACTACTACACTCTTTTCGAATATATTTTGATTCACCCAAAGAAACACACTCTCACAAAGAGATACTCACACACCCTCTTGCTTTGACAAATTTTTCTCTTTGGTCTAAGACTTACAGATTTAAGCCCGACTTGCTACTAGTCTTCAGCAGGTAAGCCTTAGCATTCTGAATGGTGGTCTCAAGCATGCTGGGGGCCACTTCAGAGCCACCGGTCGCAGGCTGCTGTAAATCATAGTCACTGTTTGAGTCTTCCTCCTGAAAAACGTCAAATCTCAGCTCTTTCTGGTTGGCCTTGTTATAGCTCACGGCCCTTGGTCCACACAGGTGGGGTTTGGGTTGCTGAGACTGTTGAAAGGTGTTTCCCTCTAATTGGCTTGTGTGATGAGGAGTTGATTCTCTTTTATCAGATGATTGTTCCAAAGGATCAGGATAAGGTGTCCCAGCTTCAGGAATCACACTAGTGGTCCTGTCTGACTGAAGTGGTGCCGCGAGGTCTTGTATGGCTGGAGCCAGGGGAGGAGGAGTGGAAGAGGACTCCTGCGGAGAGAGAGGAGCAGGTGATGTTTCTGCTCCAGCGGGACCACCCAGAGACGTCCTGGCTCTAGAGTGGGGACTCCAAGAACGGCTGCTTCTGGACTGGCGTCCAGTTTCTAGCCCCTGCTTAGCCTCCAAGGACTCAAACGACGCAGCCTCAGAATATTGGGGAGAAGATGCTGTCTTTACTTCCCAGGACCGCCTTGCTTCCCCTAGTTCTTGGTTTTCTTTTTCTTGCTTCGGGGATGTTGACTCTTCCATGGAAGGAGTTCGAGAAGCAGTGTTCTGGATGAAGAAGTAGTGAAAATATGGAAGAAGGCAACTCAGTTCAGTTACTTTGCCGCGGTCTCTTAAGCGATTTCTGGGTCCTGGTTGCTCTGTAAGTTGCCGCGTCCTGTCTCCGTAGCAACCCCAGGCCGGGTTCCTCTAAGAAAAACAAAGCACTCCTGTTGCCAGGATTCGAAGGCGGAGAGTAAGAGAGAGAGATGAAAATCCTAGCTTTGTGATTCGGTATAACCCCTGCCACTCGTTCTATCACAGCCAATCCGACCTAGACCAGTCTTGCTTGGAAAGCCGAGGATTCCTGGTCCCATGCCGTGAGGACAAAGTACAAAGAATGGCAACCCCATGCGATAGACTTTTAGGGGTCTGAGACTTTGATCCAAGTTGTGCTGTGAGGAGCAAGTCGTGCGTTAGTGGAGGGACAGTGTCTTCATGGAGCGCGCGCGCACGTGTGTGTCTCTGTGTGTGTGACAGAGAGAGAGAGAGAGAGAGAGAGAGAGAGAGAGAGAGAGAGAGGGAGAGAGGGGAGGGAGGATGAGCCCGACCTTGGTAATCTTGGAGGTGCAGGTGACAATGGGACCCCAGTGTGCTGACCAGGAGAGCCCAAGCCTCACATTTAGCGTGCATCAGCTACAACCAACCAACTCTAAAGACTTGGAGAATAGAAAAAGCAGTCCTGAGTTTTGTTCTTACCGCTTATAAGGAATCTCCTGATGATTAGGCAGAATATTATCCTTGAGGAGGCAATGCAGAAAACTCATAAATAGGAAATTCATGGGTTAAGTATTTTCAAATAATTGAAATTCAAATGAACACTATATTGGCATAATGCAATTTTTATTTAATAATGTAAATGTAAATTCATAATTTTACAATGATTTAAAGTCAGGATTATGACCATTCATTTACAGTAGGTATATATAGGCAGTCTCCAATATGAAGAAGGCATAGAAGTTGGAAAATATCTGAACTTAACTATAAACCATTCATTAATTAAAGTCTTTAATGTTAATTGTTTTGTATTTCTTTCTCTTTTTTTAATTATACTTTAAGTTCTGGGGTACATGTGCAGAACATGCAAGTTTGTCTTTCTCTTTTAAAATATACCAATAAATACTTGGCATTTGACAGTTTACATTGATGTAACTTCTATTTAGCAAGATGTTGCTCTAAATTCTAACTTCATGGAAGAACATAATACTCCTCCATTCAGTGTGGTGAGGGAATTGCAGACTAAATTTGATAAAAGCTGTGTGCACACACACAAAATGTTGAATGTAACTTCTGCTGGTACAGACTCTTTAAAGTCAGACATCTGGGATTTAGAATGCTTGGATTTCTAAAAACAAAAGATTAAGATAAACCAAAACAATAAATTCTGTTTTTTGTGGGTTTCTTTGGTAATTAGTGCAAGAGTTGAAGAAGTTAGTATTTTTTCCCCCTTCATTTCTCCCTTGCAGCTGGTAAGCTGTGATGGAGGTTTTTCTTTGAAAGACAAGCCAGAGGGCCGGGCATGGTGGCTCATGCCTGTAATCCTAGCACTTTGGGATGCCGAGATAGGTGAATCACCTGAGGTCAGGAGTTCGAGACCAGCCTGGGCAACATGGCGAAACCCTGTCTCAACAAAAATACAAAAATTAGCCAGGCATTATGGCAGGTGCCTGTAGTCCCAGCTACTCAGGAGGCTGATGCAGGAGAATCGCTTGAACCTGGGAGGCAGAGGTTGCAGTGAGCCAAGATCATGCCACTGCCCTGCACTACAGCCTGGGCAACAGAGCAAGACTGTCTTAAAAAACAAAAAAAACCCAGACAGACAAGCCAGAAAAAGGAATAACATAAGGAGGGAGCTGTTGTGCATAAGACTGAGGGGACAATCCGCTATTTTTGTTCCTAAGCAGGGCAGGGGTAGAGGAGGCCCCTCAGATGGGGGAGGAGGGGAAAGAGGAGGGAGACAGAGCACTGGACGATGGAGAAGGCTAGGCGGTGGGGAAGAGCAGCAGCGTCAGTGCTGGGCGGCTGTGTCTACCGCACAGTGTGGAGGTGGTCAGTGCTGCCCAGGGAGGTCTTCTTGCCAGGATAGAAGTGCTGAGAGGGCCTGAGATTTACACCTGGCCAGAATTCCCAAGGAAACAGAGCCCAGAGGCTGCAGCAGGCCTGGGAGCTTCATTTCAGTCAGGAGTTTTATCTAGACTTTGACTCTAGTAATCCTAAATTTGGATTACTGCTTCATTTTCAGTCAGGAGTTTTATCCAGACTTTGATTCTAGTAATCCTAAATTTGCTTCTTACTGTTTTTAGGATAAAGATGAAAGCTCTTTAGTCTACTTATGTTCTCAGTTTTGTACGAAGCTTCATATTAATGCTGGTCTCATAAAATGGGTTAATAAGTATTTCTTCCATTTCTGTTTTCTGGAACAGATTACGTATAACTGGTGTCATTTCTTTAAATGTTTAGTAAAATGCGTTTGGAGACTTCTATTTCAGGAGGTTTTTAAACTGCAAATTCAAAATTTTGAATTGTTATAGGACTCTTCAGATAATCTCTTTCATCTTGGATGCATATTGGTAGTTTGCAATTTTAAAGGATTTTATGCATTTCTTCCAAGTTGTTGAACTTATGTTTGCAGAGTTCTTTGTAGTATCCCTTCTTATCCTTTTAATGTTTGTGGGGTCTGTAGTAATATCTTCTCTTCCATTCTTGATTTTGATAATTTGCCATCTTTTTTTTTTTTGTCTCATTGTAGGTTTATCATTCTTATTGGACACTTAAAATTAGCTTTGGGTTTTATTTATTTTCTCTATTGCTTTTGTTTTCAATCTCATTGATTTCACTTCTCATTTGTTTGCTTCTCTTTATTTTGTATTTATTTTGCTCTTCTTTTGCCAGTGTCTTGAAGCAGAAGTTTGGATTATTGATTTGAGATTTCTTTTTTTTTTTTTCTGATATGATATAAGTGTCTAGTGTTTTTTTGTTTTCTTTCTTTTTTTTTTTTTTTTGAGATGCAGCTGCACTCTGTCACCCAGGCTGGAGTGCAGTAGCATGATCCTGGCTCACTGCAATCTCCACCGCCCAGGTTCAAGTAATTCTCCTGCCTCAGCCTCCCGAGTAGCTGGGATTACAGTCACCCACCGTCACACCTGGCTGATTTTTGTATTTTTAGTAGAGAGTGGGTTTCACCATGTTGGCCAGGCTGGTCTCAAACTTCTGACCTCAAGTGATCCACCCACTTCAGCCTCCCAAAGTGCTGGGGATTACAGGTGTGAGTCGCCACATCTGGGTGTCTAGTGTTTCATATATTCCTTTTAAACATTCTTTTTAAAATTTTTATTTTATGTATTTATTTGAGACTGAGTTTCACTCTTGTTGCCCAGGCTGAAGTGCAATGGTGCAATCTTGGCTCACTTCAATCTCCACCTCCCGGGTTCAAGCGATTCCCCTGCCTTGGCCTCCCAGTGCTAGGATTACAGGCGTAAGCCACCATGCTCAGCCTTTTAAGTTTTGGGGTACATATGCAGGATGTGCAGGTTTGTTACACAGGCAAACAGGTGCCATGCTGGTTTGTTGCACCTATCAACCCATTACCTAGGTATTAAGCACAGCATGCATTAGCTCTTTTTCTTAATGTTCTACTTCCTTACCCTCCACCTCCTAACAGGGCCCCATGTGTGTTGTTGTTCTATTCCCTGTGTCCATGTTTTTTTTTTTTTTTTTGGAGACAGAGTCTCGGTCTGATTTACATGAAGATGAAGAATTCTCAGGAACAGTCTGTGAGGAAATGAAGGAAGCATGACTGGGCAGAGTCAGAAGTTGAACTACAATGCAGTTGCAACAAAGACAATAGGTATTTGAATAGGGAGCTAAGAAACTGGGATGCCCTTCAGAATTGTTCTAAATTGAGAAAGTTTTGTTACTACAGATGTGAATGCATGACAGCATTTATGCAGCTGTAGCTGAGGGAGGTACAGTCTGCACATCAAAATAATCTTGTATTTATTTTCTTGAATTTTTTATAGATATATATATCTATATAAAATACTGGCAAAAAGAAGATGAAGGATTATACTTCCTCATTGTAAGTTAATTGTGTAGGGTAAGTGGAATAGATGAAATGCGAAAGACAAGAGATTTATAGACAAAGTCCCTTGAAAAACTTCCTTCCCTGGTAAGTGGCCAATTTGGAACATGTTGATCAATTTTTCTAAATTATTTATATTAAGGAAGTATTATTATCCTAATTTTGCAGATGAGGAAATTGACAATCAAGGGTTCAGGAATTTTGTTTTCAAGCTCCCACAGTTAAAGAGGCTACTATTCCAATTCTCATCATTTTTTCACAAGTCTGACCAACTGTATCATGTATCTTCATACTAGGCAATGTGTCAAATTTTAGTGATGAACAAAATATTAAGATTTAAGTATTAAATCTTCACTATCTTTTTTTTCTCTTGTGCTCAAGCTCCCTGGGGCTGGCTAACAGTACACAAGTTCATTATCAGTTGAGTGCCAATAATCAGAAAGAGAAAACCCCAACCCTCCTATATAAAAAGGACACATGCACAGAGACACTCCCTATCAAATAGAATCCCATAAAATTAGTTGATAGTAGCAAGGAAAGGAACAACACATTAAATGCATACCTTTAAATGCCTAACTCTCTCCTTTAACATTATTTTCATGGGCTTTAGGGTCAATACCTTTTACCTTTTAAAAGGAAAATAATTACCTTGTAAACAGCTTTAGTAACAGATCATAGTTTATTACAAGGAACTTTATATAGAGATTAATCCAGCTGACATTTTAAAAACAAACTTTAAACATCAGAAAATATATCCAAATTGATTTCAAGAATGATCAAGATGGTTTTCAAAAAAACTTTATCCCAAAAGTATAGGTAAAACATGTTCTAGGTCTGTATTTTCAAAACAGCCTAAGTTCCATCATATAAACAAAACCACCACATATGGAGTATAATTCACTTTAATTTTGTGATTCTACCATATTTAGATATGTTTGGACTGGGTGTGACCAAAATCAATAACCTATTTTTCAATATATTGGACATGTAGCAATAGCCCATATCCCAGTGATTTTCAGGTCCTTTTAGCATGTTTGTTTAACTATCTATCTGTTTGGGGCCAGCAATAACATGGCTTCATTTTGTTCATCCATTGAGTACTATCATTTCAGCAATGAAGCCTCCCTAACCTGAAACTCCATGTGGTTCCATTTCCAGGCCTTTCTGCCTAATGGTCTTTGGGATGGAGGTCAGGGAACCCTGAAAGCCTTCTTGATCTGCTGAGGACTAGGGTGAGGTGAGTGAGGCACTGGTCTCGGGTGCAAACGTTAAGGAGGCACTAAAACCCACTAATTAAAAGAAATACTATTTAAACACAATATTTATGAAAATCAAAATGTAAAATATGTAATGAAGAAAATAAAGATCAAAATGTTAAATAATACAAATTTTCTCCTTTGCTTCAGACTCCAATATGGCTCTGCACTGCACTGTTATTTAAATATGTGATTTAATCCCATAAAGTTAGTTGATAGTAGCAAGGAAAAGAACAACACATTAAATGCATACCTTTGAAGATTTGCCGAACACTCTCCTTTAACATTATTTTCATAGGCTTTAGGGTCAATAATTACCTTTTACCTTTTAAAAGGAAAATAATTACCCTGTAAACAACCCTCCCACCTTTGCAATAATCTTGAACCTTGAACTTTCACCAGCATTTTTCCACGTTTTAATACTAGGGGGGAATAGGTGCATTCTCAGTCCAACTCACTTCCTTTCTTCCCCATTGCACATGCAGTGGCTTGAATTCCACATTCTGACCACACACACACACACACACACACACACACGCACGCACACACACATGCACACACATTTTTATCCAAAATTTCTACCGTTAGAGAGCCCTGAGGCCACTTTCTTGCTTCAGCATTGGAAGATCTCCTGAGCAAAATTGTGTTTCAAGTAGAAAAGCCAATTATTTTAATGTTTAGATGAATTAATTCCGGATCATTTTAATCCAGTATATTTAAGAAGAAGGCTAGAAGCTTTATTTCTAAAGACATATTTAGCATAAACATTCACACTGAGACCACTAGCTGGGCCAGGTCACCTGCACACACAATTCATCTTGCCACCTGTGCACACAATTCACCTTTCCAACTGAAGTGTAGAATTTTTTTTTCTTTTTTGTACAGTTTTAGCTGCAATAGTCTTGTGTCTTGAAAATCTAAGTTTTGTTGGCATTTTTTCCTTTTCTTTTTATTTCTTTTTAAATATTAATGCCATTTGGGAAGCATCTAATCAAAATAAACCATTTCTGAGTCTTTGAGCTCAGTATTCCATCTTTTAAATCTGGTGCAAATCATAGAAATATAAGATTATGACTGTCTTTTTACCTTTTGATTTAAGACCAACTAACATATCTAAGAGTTAACATATCTTTGGCAGCTTCAATGTCCTCTATATAACTTATCCTCAACATTCTAACCTCATAACTTATCATTAATATCATTAATAATTATTATTTTTGCCCCACTTCAGCCATCTCTAACCTCAAAGAACCACTCTTGAATTTGTCATTATCTGAAAGAACTCAGAAGTCTAAGTCTCCTCTGCTTCTCTCCAATCTCAATCTCCCAGGATTCAAATTTTCTCTTTTCCATATTTTCCACTAGAAATATTTGATTTTTTAAAAAGAGATATGTACACTTCCATTTCTCCCCACATAAATGCTTCTTTTGACTTATTTTTTCATCCAGCTTAAATCCCAAGATACAACAATTTTAACCTGTTCCCATGCATCTTCAACTTGATTTTATTTATTCATCTAACAAATTACTAGACAATTGTTTCAGATTTCAATGATTGTTTCATCCAATAATTATTTAGTATAGATTCTCTACAAAGCTGTAAATATAAAGCCAGATAAAACACAGCTCCTGCCCTCCAACTGGTCATTTCAAGTACATTTTTTGAGAAGACTCCTTGGACCATCCCAATCCCAGGTTAACTTAGATGTCCCTCCTTTGTGACCCTCGAGCATCCTGTAAGTAAGTTTTCATTCAATACTGTATTTATGTGCCCAGAAATATGAGAACACCTCAAGAAGAGAGACTACATCTCTTGTCTCTTATCATCTCACTGCCTAGCATGTGCACATAAGGTTTGGCTGAAAACAATTTGGTTAAAAGTAATTTGGCCAAGTGCATAAAGCAATTTGGTAATAGAAAAATTTTAAGAAGAATAGTAGTGTAGGCCGGGTGCGGTGGCTCAAGCCTGTAATCCCAGCACTTTGGGAGGCCAAGGCGGGTGGATCACGAGGTCAAGAGATCAAGACCATCCTGGTCAACATGGTGAAACCCCGTCTCTACTAAAAATACAAAAAATTAGCTGGGCATGGTGGCACGTGCCTGTAATCTCAGCTACTCAGGAGGCTGAGGCAGGAGAATTGCCTGAACCCAGGAGGCGGAGGTTGCGGTGAGCCGAGATCGCGCCATTGCACTCCAGCCTGGGTAACATGAGTGAAACTCCGTCTCAAAAAAAAAAAAAAAAAAAAAAAAGAAGAATAGTAGTATAAAGAATTATTTGTTACTGGTTTTAAAATCTGTAAAAAACTAGTATACTGAGGGTAAAGTGTATGGCAGTTTCCCAAAGCTCTGTGTATCTTTTAGTATTTTTATCCATATTTCTAAATTAACAAAGGGGTGCTCCTTTTGTCACATTTTTATTTATCCCAAGCTATGTATCTGACAAACTGTATATTTTAAAAATTACAGGGGCCAGGTGTGGTGACTTACACCTGCAATCCCTAGCACTTTGAGAGGCCCAGGCGTGCAGATTCCTTGAGCTCAGGAGTCAAGACCAGCCTGAGCAACATGGTGAAACCCCATCTCTACAAAAAATACAAAAACAAACAAACAAACAAAAACATTAACCAGGTGTGGTGGCACATGTCTGTAGTCCCAGCTACTCTAGAGGCCGAGGTGGGAGGATGGCTTGAGCACAGGAGATCAAGGCAGCAGTGAGCTGAGATCACACCACTGCATTCCAGCCTGGGTGACAAAGTGAGATCATGTCTCAGAAAAAAAAAAAAATACTGTATGTTACAAAACAGTAGTACAAAAGGACTCATTCATTTATACACTCAACAAGTATTTAAAGACTGCCTGCTCTCTGCTAGGCATTAATCTCATAGTAACAATAAACTGGGGAGCAGATAGACAAGGCCCGTACATTCCAGTGGATTCCACTTTCGAACAGAAACGACTAGAAAAGCCTCTGACTAGAAACTTATGCAACTAGATACCAATATCATACATCTTTAAGTGGAAGGATTTACAAGTTTTCTAATGTACTTTTCCATTTTGATTTTCCTATATAAATGGGCACTGTCAAACAATAAGAAATAGGAAATAAAAAACTGATCATACTCAAACAATAAAAATGGTATTAAAAATCTGACATTTAGGATAGGTGAAAGGTTTCTTTCTCTTTTAAATAAAACCCAAATCAATTTTCAGTTCCATCCTTCTACCCAAAAGTGTATTTGAAGAACTGGTAAATTATTATTAATAAAATCAAGAATATTAGTGATCTGGCAATTTTATTGGTGTTTTTAAGATATAGTTGTAATAAGAAAAATTTTAATTTGGCTGGGTGTGGTGGCTCATGCCTGTAATCCCAGCAATTTGGGAGGCCAAGGCATGCGGATCACCTGAGGTCAGGAGTGCAAGACCAGCCTGACCAACCTGGTGAAACCCTGTCTCTACTAAAAAATACAAAAATTATCCAGGTGTAGTGGTGGGTGCCTGTAATCCCAGCTACTCAGGAGGCTGAGGCAGGAGAATCACTTGAACCAGGGACACAGAGGTTGCAGTGAGCCAAGATCATGGCATTGCACTCCAGCCTGGGCATCAGAGCCAGATTCCATCTCAAAAAAAAGAAGAAAGAAAGAAAGAAAGAAAAGAAAGAAAAGAAAGAAAGAA